GTGGTAGCAGTGAGGTCAGTGATGAAGACTGTTTCCCCGGTGTAGACTATGTTGGGCACAGCCGACTTCAAGATGATCGATTGTAGAGCCGCTGTGTCCCTCAAGATCTTCAATTTGAAACGTCCCTCCGGATTTGAACCGTTGGCAGAGACAGTTCCAGTATACAGGTGGTTACTGAAAAGAGAAAGATCATTAACATCAACACCAACATTCATCACAGGCTTACCGGACTTAGGAGGAGTTGGTTTGGGTCGTTGTTGGTCAGTGGTTCCCTTGTATTGAGACTTACCACACTTGTCTATGGTATGTCCATAGAGTCTACAATATTTGCAGTACAGTTGTGAACCAGCTTGATCGGGGCTCACCTTCTCGTAACTGTACCACGACTTCTTACTGGAGGATGGTTCAGGTGTCAGCCGGTGGATGAGGCTGTAAGTGTCAGCCGACTTAGCACACTTCAGGTAGTCGGTTTCTTCTTTATCTGCTAAGTAGAGGCGGACAGGAGGCGGCACACGTCTCAAGAATTCTTCAACAAGCATCAGGTTGACGAGTTCTGTAAAAGTAGAGACATGTGCTGCTTCCAGCCATTTCATGAAATACCTCCGTTTCGTGTTAGCAAACTCGAGGAAGGTAGTGGTACTTGCCTTCAGGTGGTCACGGAATTTCCTTCTATAACTTTCAGTAGAGAGGAGGTAGGCGTCCAACACTGCTTGTTTCAGAGTGTAGTAGTCATTCTCAGACGCCAAAGTACTGAGTGTGACTGCAGCTCTACCTGTAAGATGGACTCTGAGAAGTGTGGCCCATTGGTCGACAGGCCAACTGAGTTGATTAGCAAGGGTTTCAAAGGTGGTAAAGAACACATCAACTTCTGCTTCTACAAAGGATGGCATTAACTTACTTGCATGTGATATATTAAAACTGACGGGAAGATTGGCAGTAGCTTGCTGGCGTTGAGCGAGGTGTGAAGTTTCCAACGTGTATTCCCGTTGACGACACTCAAGAGCCAGAGTCGCTTGTTGCTTGTCATGTTCACGTTGCATTTCCAACTCGCGTTGTTTGGTTTCAAGCCGTATGCGTTCCCGCTCCTGGAGTAAGGCAATCTCACGTTCTTGTTCTTCCCTTCGTATGGCAGCTGCTCGTTCTTGTTGTTCGAGGGCTTCCCTTTGCTGTTCGCGGGCTTCCTTTTGCTGCTCACGTTCAATCTTAGCCAGCTCTAGTTTAAGTTTCATCGTTGCCAAGTCAGTTTTATCTGCAATATAGTAAGTTTCATGAGTTTCAGAGTCTATCTTACCTTGCTCTAAATAGTAATCCAGCAACAGGTTGTGTAGGTCATTTTTGTTGGCTTGATAGGGAACTTCTAGTTGATACTCATGTGCAAGAGTTTGTAGTTCAGTCCTCTTGGCACGACTTAAAGTCCCTATTTCACCTGCTGGATTTGCACGGAAAGTTTGGAGACGAAACATGGTGAAATTAGCAAATAAAGGTACACGAATGTTCAATAATGAAATGTCAGAAACAGGACAACGTGGCAACTGGTACCTATCCTGTGTGATCTTTAACAATTAACGTTAAGTGAAAGATATTAAATGATTAAATCAAGGGCGCAGGAAATCTTGTACCCGGTACTCATGTAAGAGAATAAGGGCAAGAAAATCCTACTAACAAATGAAACAAAGTTTCGAAAACAAATGAAACAGTTAAATGCTTCAAAAGTAAAATTGGTAGTCCAAGGATGTAGGCATACCTTGCCAAGTCTCTATAGGACATAAAGCAAGTTTTTCCTACTGAATTTAATATGATACTTACAGAATTAGCGAACTTTTGTGCTCTGAAAAAATAAGCTAATTCCCTACCGTTGTATGTATCATCATCTCTGACTGACGTGTAGGGGTGCGAGGTGTCAACTGGTGACGAGAACTGCTGCTGAGGTCCCAATTCAGCAACTAAAGTTCGAGCTAGAGGAACTATGGCCCTCTTTGTCCTCCTACAGTCAGATTGCAGAAGATTGGGTACTCTTGACCCGGGGCAGACCACAGTACCAGGGTACCAATATGATGATCTGTCAGAATGAGAAATATTCAAGGGACATAGATGGTAAATACGAGTAATAACATGGAGGGAGAGATGACCAATTAAGAGTATGACTGAGGCCTACAGTCACCACGTAATCCAAAGTTGTCTCACCTTCACTATATGTTACTCTCGTAATGCACAATACACCGCACCTTATAAAAAATGAAATTGAATGAAAAATAGTAAAGCTACGTTAACAAAGTTAAATACGCTTACCATAAATTACCACTTGGCACCAGTACCTGAGTGAAGCTCCTAGGACAGGCCCCCATATAACTTGTGACGGTAACGCGTTGGTGTTCGGCTGTTTAAGGCTAGGGGTATGGCCTCGTCACATAGTTATAAAAAAAAATAGAAAAACTGGAACTTCGTCTGTGGTAAGGTAAGGAGAAGACACACAAAACACAAGTAAAACTTTAACAATGAAATTTTAATTACGTTAAATAAATCAAAACATGAAAATAATGCACAAACAAATATGTATAATAAAATCAATGAATCAAAATAATAAGAATACTTAAATGACACAATGAAAGTTACGTTAAGGCAAAATAACAAGAAGTGCAACACAAAAGTTAAGTGGGAGGTGCTGGAATATTGGCTTAAAGCCACCACCTCTCTCAGTACACGCTAACGTCTAGCTGGGAGGAGTGCTGGCTACGAAAGCACGGAACATTCTGAGGACTGATGTTGGGGCGACCCCAGACATCAGGTAGTATTGGGGGCGAGTGCAGGTGCAGCCAGACCGGCGACCAATCAGCGGAGCCGTAGCGATCAACGGGTAGTTTGGTGGTTGGAGTTCGAACAGGTGGCTGGTTGCATACGTTTCTGCTCACCCTGGCAAGCCTTGCTGGTGTTGTTGTTGTCGTTGTTGGACATTTCTTCCATAGTCTTTTATATAATTGTGAAGACGTAATTTTGGAGGGAAGAGCAGGCTCAATCTCTTGAAGGAGATTATCGTCACAATATATATATATATATATATATATATATATATATATATATATATATATATATATATATATATCCCCTGGAAGAATGGCAAGCAGTTGGTATGGGACTACACGTGCGTATCAACCCTGGCTAACACCTACATTAATCTCAGTGTTGCACAACAAGGTGGCGCTGCCACCCACTGGGAAGCAGCCAAATCCCGTAAGTATAGTGAATTGGATCACCACTACAATTTTGTCCCCATTGCTTCTGAGACACTCGGCGCCTGGGGTAAAAGTGCTACCAGTTTTTTGAAGGAACTGGGTTCTAGGCTCATTGAAACAACAAGGGACCCAAGAGCTGCAAGCTTTCTTTTCCAGCGCCTCAGTGTGGCGATACAGAGGGGAAATGCGCACTGCATCCAGGGTTCCTGCCCGCCATCTGAGGAGCTGGAGGAACTCGACAACCTATGATAACCATCTTTGTAACCCATATGTAACTCCTTTTTTGTAACAAAGTTCAAATAAAGTAAATATATATGTGTACATACAAAAGAATGGGGGTGGTAGGAGAAGATAATATTAGTGTTCAGTGAGAAACCACAAGGTCTCCTCAATTAATCAATTCCCTCTTTACGAGCAAAAGTTTTGGCCAACTCATCAGTTCTATCATGCATTCTGAGACCAGTATGGGAAGGAATCTACTGGAGACAAGCTTTGACTCCATCATTGATTATTTCATTATATATGTGTCTAGCTTCAGACACAAGCATGTCACAGATATGTCTTGGGGGAGCTGTGTGCTCGCTACGATGACTACGATGTTGCGACACTCTACGACGCTCTCTACGATGTTGGGCTCTGCAATGTCGCGCTTTCTACAATGTGTTCTCTTCAATGGCACTTAGTGATGAGGTTCTCTCCGATTTCGCGCTCTGCTATGTTGAGTTCTACGCTCTCACGCTCTCTACGATGTCGCACTCTGCGATGTTGAGTTCTACGCTCTCACGCTCTCTACGAAGTCGCCCTCTACAGTGTCGAGCTCTGCGCTCTCAATGATGAAAATTACGATGTGGCGCTCTCTATGATGTTTGTGTGGTGTTGTTGCTGTGTTGAATGTGAAGTGTTGTTGCTGTGTTGATTGTGATGTGTTGTTGCTGTGTTGATTGTTAAGTGTTGTTGTTGTGTTGATTGTGATGTGTTGTTGCTGTGTTGATTGTTAAGTGTTGTTGTTGTGTTGATTGTGATGTGTTGTTGCTGTGTTGATTGTGATGTGTTGTTGCTGTGTTGATTGTGAAGTGTTGTTGCTGTGTTGAATGTGATGTGTTGTTGCTGTGTTGATTGTGATGTGTTGTTGCTGTGTTGATTGTGATGTGTTGTTGCTGTGTTGATTGTGAAGTGTTGTTGCTGTGTTGATTGTGAAGTGTTGTTGCTGTGTTGATTGTGAAGTGTTGTTGCTGTGTTGATTGTGAAGTGTTGTTGCTGTGTTGATTGTGATGTGTTGTTGCTGTGTTGATTGTGAAGTGTTGTTGCTGTGTTGAATGTGATGTGTTGTTGCTGTGTTGATTGTGATGTGTTGTTGCTGTGTTGAATGTGATGTGTTGTTGCTGTGTTGAATGTGATGTGTTGTTGCTGTGTTGATTGTGATGTGTTGTTGTTTGTGAGGTGTTGCTGTTATTTACTTTCGAGACAGTGTTTCCGTTGCAGTAATCTTGAGGTGTAGTTTATTTGCGCAATTGGAGGAAGCGGTATAATGGTTCGGGTTAATTTGCTTGTTGCGGGCTGGAGGTAACTGTCGTGATAACATATTTGCTTTATAATGGTCTCTTGTTGTTGTTGTTGTTGTGGTTGTTCGTAGAGTCGGTGGTTAGTGAGTAGCGCATCTTTATTTGTTTGGTGTAGAGCGTCGGGTTGTTGTTCCATAAGTGTGGTGTTCTTTATTTGTTCTCGTGGTGTTCTTTATTTGTTCTCGTGGTGTTCTTTCGTTTGTTTAAGTGTGAGTCCCAGGTCACAACTTACAGCCGTCCAGGTCACAACTTACAGCCGTCCAGGTCACAACTTACATCCGTCCAGGTCACAACTTACAGCCGTCCAGGTCACAACTTACAGCCGTCCAGGTCACAACTTTCAGCCGTCCAGGTCACAACTTACAGCCGTCCAGGTCACAACTTACAGCCGTCCAGGTCGCAACTTTCAGCCGTCCAGGTCACAACTTACAGCCGTCCAGGTCACAACTTACAACCGTCCAGGTCACAACTTACAGCCGTCCAGGTCACAACTTTCAGCCGTCCAGGTCACAACTTACAGCCGTCCAGGTCACAACTTTCAGCCGTCCAGGTCACAACTTACAGCCGTCCAGGTCACAACTTACAGCCGTCCAGGTCACAACTTACAGCCGTCCAGGTCACAACTTACAACCGTCCAGGTCACAACTTACAGCCGTCCAGGTCACAACTTACAGCCGTCCAGGTCACAACTTACAACCGTCCATGTCACAACTTACAGCCGTCCAGGTCACAACTTTCAGCCGTCCAGGTCACAACTTACAGCCGTCCAGGTCACAACTTTCAGCCGTCCAGGTCACAACTTACAGCCGTCCAGGTCACAACTTTCAGCCGTCCAGGTCACAACTTACAGCCGTCCAGGTCACAACTTACAGCCGTCCAGGTCACAACTTACAGCCGTCCAGGTCACAACTTACAGCCGTCCAGGTCACAACTTACAGCCGTCCAGGTCACAACTTACAGCCGTCCAGGTCACAACTTACAGCCGTCCAGGTCACAACTTACAGCCGTCCAGGTCACAACTTACAACCGTCCAGGTCACAACTTACAGCCGTCCAGGTCACAACTTACAGCCGTCCAGGTCACAACTTACAGCCGTCCAGGTCACAACTTACAGCCGTCCAGGTCACAACTTACAGCCGTCCAGGCCACAACTTACAGCCGTCCAGGTCACAACTTACAACCTTAACCTTGGCGTGTAAACAGTGTCTGGACGCTGGGGCCCAACGCCAAGAAAACGGTCAATTTAAAGTGTCCTATCCTAACCTACCAGAGGACCCAAAACAGAAAACGGGACAGTACGTCACTTTCGCGAGCCGCTTCCATTTTTCTAGTGCGACAATTTTTGGCTTTATGTAAAAGGCCAAAAAAGCGACGTTCTCTGTCGAAGGACAAGTTTGAAGGGGGTAGAAATAGCCTAAGCTACTCTATCCCTTTGAGATGTATTTATTGCTTATCTCAATAAACATACTTGAACTTGACAAGTTTGTCACTAAGGGCCTAGGTTGCCCGGCCACCTGTACACTACAGGGGTACAGTATACACCTGTACCCGCTTCGCTCCCAGCGACAAGATGCAGGGAATGCAGTCCTGAAGATGGTTTATCCGCATGCATTCCTTCAATCGTCTGCTTAGTTGTTCTTTCATCTATTTGGCCATCCTTTTAAACGTTCATTCGCTTGAACGTCCGCTTGTTTAATTTTTTGGCCGTCCGTCCGTTTAATTGTTCGCCTGTCACATTGTTTGGCCGTCCGTCCATTTAATTGTTCGCCTGTCACATTGTTTGGCCGTCCGTCCATTTAATTGTTCGACTGTCCCATTGTTTGGCCATCCAACTGTTTGACTGTCCGTCGGTTTGGCCGTCCGTCCATTTAATTGTTCGACTGTCCCATTGTTTGGCCATCCAACTGTTTGACTGTCCGTTGGTTTGACTGTCCGTCGGTTTGACTGTCCGTCGGTTTGACTGTCCGTCGGTTTGACTGTCCGTCGGTTTGACTGTCCGTCGGTTTGACTGTCCGACTGTTTGACTGTCCGTCGGTTTGACTGTCCGTCGGTTTGACTGTCCGTCGGTTTGACTGTCCGTCGGTTTGGTCATCCGTCTGCCCGTTAGGTTGTTTGTTTCCGACGGTTGTCTTCCTGGGAAGTGAAAAACAACATCATTGGTTCATCTTTGGGTCCACAAATATCTCCGGATCGAGTCTTGGTGGCATCGTCCTTTATTAAACGACTTTAATTGCTATTTTATTGATATACTTGAATGAATTATGACTGTCTACTTTACTGATGTTGACTATCAGTGTTCAGGGAAGGACCAGGGGGGCCAGATTCACGAAGCAGTTACGCAAGCACTTACGAACTTGTACATCTTTTCTCAATCTTTGGCGGCTTTGTTTACAATTATTAAACAGTTAATGAGCTCCGAAGCACCAGGAGGCTGTTTATAACAATAACAACAGTTGATTGGCAAATTTTCATGCTTGTAAACTGTTTGATAAATGTAACCAAAGGCGTCAAAGATTGAGGAAAGATGTACAGGTCCGTAAGTACTTGCGTAACTGCTTCGTGAATCTGGCCCCAATTACATTGCAACCAATCCTTAAGGTTATGCTCGGCCGACCCCAAAGACGCTTTAATTAATTTTTAACATTGTGTTCAAAGTCAATATTTTCTCATTGAAATTGAAATTTAAAATTTTGCTTATAATTAGACCTAGATTTGTTTAGATGCATTGATTCCGTTGGCAATTATTTGTTCTTTTACTTGGGTAAAGCAACCTGTCCGCAAGCTTGGCTCGTTAAAGCGGCGATCATCCTCCGCATTCCCCAATTTTAACATTGTGGATTGGAGTAGAGCATATGAGCTAAGCACTGTTTAAGAAAAATCTGAATGTCATCACAGACCGTCCTCATCAACAAAGGCCAAGTGCTCATTTATCCAGTTGCCACACCCCATATTTATGAAAGAAAAAACGGTTTAACACGACTCAACTAACGTTGGAATATTTCTCAAAGAATGCTTCACTGACGACCTCTGTTTCAACGCTGTAAATGCTTCACTCACAAATACAAATAATAGCCAACAGTATCTAAACACCTAACCTAACCTACGCCTAAATACACATAGAACTCAAATGTATAATAATTTATATATTAGAAAAATTATTTTAATGCACAATATGTTAAAATTGAAGAATGGGTCTTGAGGGTCGGCCTCCGCTTTAACGATCCTGGTCGAAGGACGGACTGGTGTTAAGTGTTTTTCATTCATAAACAGGGCAATGGAACAACAGTTAGTTAACGATCATTCGGCCAGTGTTTATGAGGACGGCTTGTCTCCATTGTTTTGTTTGTGCTTAAAGTGATGTTTGGAATTTAATACTATTATTATTGGTGTATAGTTATCTATTATTATTATTAAAACACAGAAATCACCTTAACGTGATATATATATCAATGAGAAAATCCACTAGGGCCATGAGGTGGACTCGAACCAACGACCATGGCATTACCAAGCCGAGTACTCTACCACTATACCACCGAGACTTGTTAAAGTCATACAACCGGATTTCTACTGAGCCTGCCCTTCCACCCGAGTGCTTGTGTGTCAAACGTAAAAACTTGGACTGGCTTCAGTAGGGGCCTCCAGACTTCCTGTGATTTCAGTAGAAATCCTGTTGTATGACTTGACAAGTCCTGGTGGTCTAGTGGTAGAGTATGCGGCTTGGCAGTGCCATGGTCATAGGGTTCGCGCCCACCTGTAGCCCTAGTGGATTTTTCTCATTATTATTATTATTATTATTGATGATAATTTTTATTATTCTCAATAATATAATATAATAATACGAAGCTTCATTTTGTTTCATTTATTTCTTTATAGACTTATTTTGTGCCCAATCAACTGTCATAACGCAGCTCTGACGCAGTTTGGTCCAGGAATTCTTAAATTCCAGGAGATATGGGAATTATTTGGGGGTAATTATGGGTAGATATGTGCGCAAAATGTCGGGAGGAAGGGACATGTGCAACGGCAAAATTGCATATCGATTAGATGTTTTGTCTTGGTGGATCAGACGAGTGGTGAGGCGGTTGATGGGGCTGGAAGGTTGCTAAGGGTGGAAGGTGGTGATTACGGAGTTGTTTGACTGAGGACGGCAAGTTGAAGAGGAGGGCAAGAAGGCGCGCCATTATGCCTCTTCTATGTTCTGTGGCTCATGGACACAGACGAAAACGGAGGAGGAGTTGATGGAGAGTTCAAAAGCCTATCATCATTGTAACCCATCGTAGTTAATTCTGTTTCAGACCATTTGGCCAGTGGGCTATTTTTCCCGCGTTGGGAAGTTGCTATCAGAGGTTTGAAGCCAAGCCAGTGATTTGCACCACATTGTCAGACCTCCAGAAGTTTGGAGCCAAGCCTCTGAGTTTCACCACTTGTCAAGCCATCAGGGGCTTGGCCAAGACTGTAATTCTTCAAAAACATTACCAGGACATCATACACTTAGAACCAAGCCGATGATTGTCATCACGGAGCCAGGCCATCAGTAGCTTGGGACGAAGCCTGTGATTTTCACCACATTGACAGACCATCAGAGGCTTGGACCCAAGCCTGCTATTATCATTAAGTTAGACACACTGGCTCGTCTCGCCCATCAACTCGTCGTGGAGACAGACTAGTTATGGTGGTCGGGGCGTAAATGATATACACTCTCATTAAAGTAAACAAAACATTTGTATGGACATACTTTGAGATATATTTCACTTTTAGAAGGTCTCTGAAAGTGACACACACAGACACACACACAGACACACACACACACACACACACACACACACACACACACACACACACACACACACACACACACACACACACACACACACACACACACACACACACACACACACACACACACACACACACACACACACAGAATTACTTGAGACATCTTGACAAAAGTTTTGCCTGCGACTGGTCACAGTGAGGATGTGGTTTACAACTGGGATTGAGACTGACCTCATCCAGCTTCACAGTTCTTCACGTCTCCTTCCCCTGTCTTCCCTTCCTTACCCTCTCCTCTTTTCCCCAATTTGTCATCGTTCCTCTCTTCCTTCTGTTCTTCTCTTTAATTGTCTTATTCTTTGCTCTCCTCTCATGCCCATTTTACTTGACTCACTCCATCTTTTCTCAACATCTTTCTTCTTCGCTTCTAACTGCATCCTGTGTCATTTCCTGGTTCATTATTCTCTCCTACAACGTTCTCATCCCCGTATTTTCTATGTCTATTTATACCCACGCTGCTTTCCTCGTTTTCTCATGTGTCCCCTATTCCATTTTTTATGTGTAATTATGATTTGTCTTTTAATCCACCCTACCCAAGATTGACAAAATAATGCATCAGATATACAATGTAATGTAACTATAACTTGTGATTGTAAAATTATCCTAATCACCATCAGTGGTTAAGTGCTAAATAACACACTAGTTTCTATAGCAGCTATCTTACCCTGTCAAAGTAGGATATAAATATCTATGTGTATGAATATATATCTGTGGATGAGTATATATCTGTGTATGTGTGTATACAGGGTATGTGTAAGCTGGTCAAAATTGCATTTCTCCTTTGTAAACACACATTAATTACATTACGTAAAAAGCATTTATCGAACACTGTTTATGTAGCACAGACGTATCTCTGTGTATTTATGTATGTAGGTTAGATTAGCATTTTAAAAGCACTTCAATCACCTTGTGTGGTTGATTGTTGAATAAATCACAGAACTATATGGTATAATAGACCTCTAACCCTCTTCTTGATGGACAAGGAAATGTATATATGCTGGTTGGCATTGTAAATGTGTGGCCATGTCTGTGGTAGAAAATAATAAAACAAAAATAAATAAAATTCTTCCTTCTTATTGCTCTCTTTTTGTCCTACTTGTTTCATCTTTACTTCATTCACTTTAATTTGTTATTTATTCACTCGTTCACATTTTTCATCCCCCACTTCTCATTTCTTCTCTCTGTTTCTTCTTCTTCATCCTACTTTATTTTATTACTCTTTCTGCCCTTGCTGTCTCCCTCTGTTATATATATATTGTTTTGTCTGTTTTGTGTTCCCTTTTCCCTTCCCCCATTCTCTGCCCCGCGTTCCTTCACCCATTCTCTGCCCCGCGTTCCTTCACCCATTCCCTTCCACGTTCATTCC